GTCCCAGAAGTACTACGATCAATACATATTGGCCTATTATGTGTGCAAAATCATGCAGAAGATAGGCCAACGATGTTGTCGGTAGTTTTGATGCTTGTTAGTGAAAGCGTGCTACCTCCACCTAAACAGCCTGCATTTTTTGCAGAATCCTGCTACCCTAAAACCGACTCTGTTCTATCAATTGATAAGGACACAATAACACTATTGCATGGCCGATAAGAGGCACGCACGTATGATTATGTCAACAGTACATTGCAATGTTACGAGCGCATGACATGTGGATACCAATATTCAGGTATTCTAAAAGTGGGGGATGGTGTTGCTGTTTGGTATCAAATAGTTCATAATTAATTTTAATTTTATTATTTTATATGAATTTAATTTGTTCAGAAGTATTATTCAAAACACTAACACATACAATGGTGGATGGGTGGGTATGTGCATGTGTCGTGTTAGGGCACACATTAGAAAATGTTGCGACCTCGCAGTAACTCGTAAGGCCTGAAGCTTGATCTCGTCGTCATATCACACCTCACGTCATTAGATCATAAGTAGACATTGTTTTTTTTACATGATGTAATATTTATAATAAGATAAATCAAAAATCAAGTTGTTTTGAGGTTTTAATAAAAAAACATTCTGAAATTTTTCGTCTTTATTTCCACAAAAATATATATAAATTGAACTTTGATTTTAAATAAATAAGAAAGATGGTAGAGGAAAGTAGAAGTCGGAGGTGCCAAAAAGGACTAAATTAGCTGTCACGTGTGAGGCACATGACCAGATTTATAAATTGACCATTTCAAATTTCAATCGTGGTCATTGAAACTTTTGAACACAAAACACATTTTTTTAAATTAAACAAAAATATATAATAAATGATTGATACACCCATAATCGATAATTATTTAATAGAAATTGGAAAACTATGACATTTTTTTCTAGAAACATATATATATATAGAGAGAGAGAGAGATGGGTGAATTATTATAGAATTATTTACATTTGTACAACCAATACAACCTGATCTCAACCGTTTGTTTGATTTGATGAATATGTAATTTAATATAAGTTTTGATTGTTTTCTAATATTGATCATAATTAATGAATCTTATTCATATTCCATTAATATTTAAATCATAATAAATGAACTCTCATAATTATAATAAATGTTTCAATTTATTGAGTTGCATTGGTTGTATAAATGTGATGGGTTGCATTTGAAACAAACTATATATATATATATATATATATATATTATATAATTACATGTATTTTTTTCCTTATTACCATTACAAAAGAATGTATGTATTTGTTTGAATATTTAAAAATGTTAAGGAATAAACGATTTGGTATTGAAGGTGTTTGATGAAATGTTTCAATGAAGATCCATCTAATAAATGTACACAATGAACCTCCAATAGTTGGATCGTCCAGATCTTTCAATGTAAATTGTCGCTCAACCTCAGCTCCTCTCGTGTTTTATGGCTCTTCATTGTATTGTTTTTATCTTAACATAATCGAAATAGAATGAAAATGGAACATATCAATCAAGAACACACCATGGTCCATATTCCTTACAACATTGTACCTTGAGGTTACCCGAGATAGACTTCGATTGTTTATAAAACAAGTTGTATTGAAATGATATAATATATATATATATATATATATATATTGCTAAATGTACCCCTATTTAGTGTTTTTTTTTAATACATAATGTAACCTGATTTTAATTTTAAGATACAAATGACAAATCCCTTTACAAGTTACTAGCAATCACTTTTAGTGCCAAAAGTACTAATGATGAATGAATGATTATCTTTTCTTATGGAATGAGATATGAAATTAGCAACAACATATACACATGTTTAACTCTTTTTTTTTTTAAATCATTCATAAATAATACTTCTGATTTATATAATATTTATATACAATAAACATTTACATACACTAAAAATAGGAAAATTGGTTCAAATAACCATTTCTCTCTCTTAAATTGGTATTCTAGCTATTTCTATCTACCTTTTGCCAAAATGTCACTACCTCTGTAAGTGACAACTTCTCAATATACAGAGAGGTCAAAAAGTAAAAAAGAAAGAAGTTTCTGAACACGGTATGTAATTTTTTCCTACATCCACAATTAATGGTCCTTAAATTTTGACATCTTTAAATAATTTCTTAATTTTAACCCCTGTACTTGCAGAGCATGTTTATAATTTTTTTTTTTTTACTTTTTGTCTCCTCCGTAAATTGAAGAGTTGTTTCTTGCGAAAGTAATGATATTTTAGTAAAAGTCGAAGATAAATAATTATTTAAAAAAGAAATAATTATTTTAATCAATTTATTTTTTAATAATGTTTGAACCTTGTTCTAACTCTATCAATAATCCAGATATGGTAGGGCAGGGTAAGTGACCCTTTGCTCTGCCACCCCTTTCTGTGTG